GTAGTATATATATATATATATATATATATATATATATATATATTACAAGTTACCTGTAACATTTTGATAGGTAACATTCAGTTCTAATACAGGTAACTTGATTTTTGACCAGTAGATCTAGATTTATACCCCTTATATTTATGTATGTCTTCACAGATCTCGAGAGAATGTAAAATGTTTCCTTACGTTTTAATGTATACAGTTTTGTTAAGCTAACGATTTTGATTCTGTCCATGTACGCGTTCATTCTGTGCTACCAGATATTTAAATTCTTGAGTACCAGTTCTCTGAGCTTTACAGTCAGCATGAAATATTTTATTTGATGATCTGAAGGTTTAGTACTAACCTGCACTGTCTACTGACAGTTTGAACAATTAGATTGGTACATATATTAACGTTGTTCAGTATGTATTAACTACATGATCTTGGCTCAACCACGTACAGGTAACGCCACCATTAGACATAGAAAACATATCTGAGACTTTAAAACAGAAGAATGTGAAAGCTTCAGAATTAAAGTTTGGATTCCTAGGATTGGGAATAATGGGTCAAGGAATAGTGAAAAATCTACTGAACTCTGGGCATGTAGTGACCATATGGAATAGAACACCCAGAAAGGTGAGCTCATTTTTTATATACCACCCTTTTTCTATTATTAAGATTGGATTGAAAGAAAAAGATTAATAGAAACTGATAAACATTAGAAAAAAAATCTGAATGATTTATCTATTCTGTAATTACAAATAAAGGCAATATGTAAGAGAGAGAGAAAGAGATATTTATGTCTGTAGCTTGAAAGAATAGCGTACATTTTTCATTAGTAGTTATAGTACAAAAACACATTCCATGACCAACACAACGTTGACCACTTTTAGAATATAAGGATCAGAATATTTTTAACCTTTTTTTGTCTTATACACAACCACCTATACTTCTGTGTATGGAAAATTTTTATCAATATTGTTTGGTAACAATATTATCTTTGTTGAACTTTAATGATTTAGTAAGACTACCAACACAAGATAACATTGTGTTTGCATCTCAGGTATACAATTCATATCACAACCATGCGATTAAATAAAATATTTTCATTCGATTAATCCTTATGAGTTACCCATGTGGTAATCAGGTGAACTGATGTCCATTGAAGTTTTCACAAAACACAGATTCCAGAAACATTAGTCAGAGAGTTGTTATTGAACTCTGATAAAAACAACAAATTAACAAATAAGACATTTTTATTTGCAAACTATGTTTATTGTAAGTCTCCATGTTACTGGCTAGTTTCAGATTCATGGTACGCCTGCATCTTGCTGCTGGAGTGTAGAGGAATCTCACAGAACCAAGATGCAAGAATAAAGTAATACCACAATTTTAAGTTAGGCCAAGTTTCTTGTACAGTATCCCATGATTATTAGATTACATATGCCAACAACTATTCAAAATAACAAATATTAAGGACAGAATCCCACAATTTGTACTAGTATTTATATCCCCCCTTGAGATTGGCTTTCCTCACCCCATTGAATAGACACAGACACAGGGTCAAACTAGTATAAGCTTCTATGGGATAGTCATTGTTCTTTGTTACTTTTAACTATGCAAAGTGATTGGTACATGTATATGTATATATGAGCTTTTTACATCCAGTTTAAAATGATGTCACAACTACATTTGCACAAACATTTAGAAAACTTAACTGAAGATACCCTACTTTATATATATATATTCCTACACCAGGTATGGAAGGGTGAAATTAATAGTTATTTCAACTGTGATAATCATAGCACCAAACGTATAGTGAATCAAATTAGAGAATTGATATCACTTATCATGAAAAAGAAAAATTCTGTCATAAAGTGGAAAATATATATCTACAGTTTGAAATATCTGATAAAATTGCATTGTTTTTAAATTTTAGTGTTAAGAGTTATTTTATTGAACAAGAAACCAAGTGTAAAAAGAGAATTAAAGTTTGTAAGATCGACTAATACGTACCTTAAGTACCTATTTCTGCTTGTTGTTCATTAAAGTCATCTGAATACATTTGTACGTAGATGGATAATAATCCTGTAATGCTATCTTTTTGATTGTTCAGTATTTTGTTTACACTTCTAACAAATAATTAATACAGAAAAGAATTCTCATTTCACATTCTGAAAGGTTCTGGGTTTTAATTGTATTTTGATGTGATCTACAGATTTTTGTTCAAGATGTATATCGTAAGACATTGCTTGATGTTCATTCTTTTAGTGCCGAGACTTTGTGGAAGCAGGTGCTATTCAAGGTCAAACTCCCAGTGATGTTGTGGCAGCGGCTGATGTCACGTTCAGTTGTGTGTCTGATCCCCAGACAGCTAAAGAGGTAACTAAACAACTGTAACATCACATTCTGATGTGTGTGACTGAGGATCAGAGCTGTAGATGTAATTAAATAAATGTTACAGTCAGACACACATCAGAATGTGATCTCCAGTCAGCTGTAGATGTAATTAAATAAACTGTAACAGTCAGACACACATCAGAATGTGATCTCCAGTCAGCTGTAGATGTAATTAAATAAA